TCGAATTTCACAGCTCATTGTAAAAATCCATTTAGCAATGTATGTGGGGTTGAGACATTAACCGGGCAGTATTTCCAATCAATATTCAACCTGTACCTAATTAACATTAGAGTTCTCATACTGCGGTAACCAGAGCGGGAAGACTTGGCATGTTTCGAGTTGAGAACATAATAAGCCAAAAAGACATAGCTTGTTACGACATAACACTGTTATTCTATAAACCTATTTTCTGCAGTGTGATAATGGTCACCAGGTGCTTTTGTCTTGTTTCAATGCTCAGGGAGAGAGTAATCGTTATAATATATCTTCACCGCCACGTAGCTAGCCGCTAGAATAAATAAACAACCCCCTTTTGACGGACAGCAGTGCGCCGCCAATGACGATCGTTGTGGTGCAGCAGCGACTGTTCCTTGACGAATAATCGTTTGTGATGCCTCGCTGTCATCACATTGATGATAATGGCAGTGATCATAAACAGTGCATTTCTAATTCTGTTCGAGGCACGAGCGTGACCGGCAGTTCGCGTGTCTGTCTATGTTTATCGAACGCATGCGGCCTGTATAGATATTCTCTGCAGTGTCAAGAAAAGTAACACAGCAATGTCGCTGGCCGATCTGAACCGCAAACGTAACACGAAAATCGTTGTCAGTCATTATAAACATAAAAGCAGCAGCGCATTTGTCGCCAACCATACTTTTAATAACAACAACGAAAACATCGATGGCTTTGAAGAACATACAGTCTCAGTAAAACAAACATTCCTCCTCGCTTAAACCAAACGAGTACCGGATTATCCTTTATGTAGGTATATGTCTAAAATCCCTTAAATGGGCTAAAATAAGATTTGCATTTCTAGCAAGACTATGAGCATAGGTCGCTAGCAAGAACTTTGCATTTTTGAGGACCGTAAAGTTCGTATGCTATGGCCAAGTGTGCACTGAGGAAACGTTACAAAAATGCGTTTGAATTTTTTTTATATAATTCACTTAGTGTGTCACTAAAGTTAGCTTTACCAATGAAGGTGATGCGTACAGCATGATTATATTAACAAAAGCGAGCGCATGTCTAATCTGTAAACACAGTTAAGATGCGCTGCTTTTATTTCGATCTTATCACAAACAATCGTATCTATCGATTCTTGTGACAAAAAAAAGAAAGACCTCCTAGGTTGAGAAGATAGAACGCTTGCAAAAAAATCTTTCCAAGGAAATCATGACGAGAACATGAATATTACGTCTACAAGTTTCTGTTGAAATCAATTTTTCTCAGCTAAACCACGCGCGACAGCGAAATAGAGCTCTATGCTCTATGATAAATGCTGGCAGAATTTTTCCAACAAAGAAGAGTTTTACTTCGGGGAAACTTACAGGTACTTTGACTCAGAAATGCATGACGAGTATTTTAATACGAATCATCTACGTATAAATGTTGTCGCACGGTGTTGTATATACGCAGACGTCTACCCTGCGACTCGGACAGAAATCAATGCCTGTTGTCAAAATGAGTCGTGTGCTTTTTGAATACTTCCAATGATGCATCCCCAGAGAGTTAGCCCAGTCAGTACGAATTCTCTCAACTACAGCATTTTTGCAATTTGCTCAAACATTTCCCTTAATAAAATACGTTTTATTATACCTTTTATGAATAAAACCTAGAAAAATGGTATGTTAGGAGCCACTGTGAAGTGGACGAATCAGGCTGCTTATGGAATAATGTGATGGGTATGAATTCGAGCCATTAAAACCTGGAGGAACGTGAAATGTTTAAAATTAAAAAAAGAAAAATCTAGTTTTATTGCTGATATGCACGGAGAGTCAGTAAGTATTCGTGATTAAAATAGCGGCCAATACGTTCTTTGAAGCCACAGAATTGTCAGAAACTAATATCTATATTTTTATTAAATTTGATGCCTCTTAACGTAAATTGCTTTAACCTGAACCTGCAATAGCAATACGAGATCTCACTAATTGAGAGTAGACAAAGTACTCCATTACCCTGGTTGTGGTGGGCTTAGCACGACCATTTTCAGCAGTGCTGGCTTCCCCGTCAAACTTTGGATTTGACTTACCTAACACGACCGTTATTGTTGGCTTGTTGTCGAGAGAGCAGACTTTTTTTTGCCATTATGTAGCTGCTAACCGATTGATTGTATGTAGTAGGTATCTTGTATTAAAAAATTATCCCAATATCAATAGCTCGCCGTAGAATAAATTATGACGGCGATAACAGTTCTCTATTCTCCATATATTTTTATCAGTTTCAGTCGGCTGATTTTATTTCCTCTTCATCTGGACGGTGGGCAAGAGCACATAACGCTGCCAGCAAAATTTGAACTCAACGCCTCACAACGTTAGGGCACTAGCTGTTTCCACAAATAGCATTAACGCCATGCTTGTATCCTTTACTCACTTTTGCTCTGCTGCTTTGTTGGCCACTAACGCGATCAGACGCACTGGATACAAATACAAGACCAAAAAGTTGACTAATTACCTCAAATGCAATCACTATCTACTAGTATTGGATTCATCAACAAACTACTAATTTTAGTATCCCTCTTTATGTTTTTATTTTCCTAATTTTGTCGTTTGTTGCCATTTTACCTCTTCATCTACTTCTACTAGGCCTTCGTTTTTTCTCCTATTTGGCTATTGTTTACCAGTTCTTTCTCACCGATTTCGCTACTCCAATGGCCATCCTCCGTTTTCGGTCTTCAGATTCGTCGGTCATCATTCTCGTATTTTCCCACGCTGCATCAGTGTCTATTCTCCGATAGCTTGCGCACCAACAACCATACCATCATTTTACATACAATGAACGCGTCTTGAGAAACAGCAAACGAAAAGTTTCTAAAAAGGAGCAACGAAGAAGTCGCTGCTGCTGCTGCTGCTGCTGCTAGTGATACTCATAACGATAGCATTCATAATAGTAATATTTGTAAAAGTGGCGCTGATGATAATGGCGCTAATGCAATGGGAAGATCACCGAAGTGAGAAGACGCTGATGGAACTGTAAAGCCAAAATGTAACCGTGTTACAATTCCGTTGAGCAGAGTTCGAAGGCTTTGTGCCTCGAATCGTCCAGTAAGCTTATCGCTTGCAGAATAGAAATCCTTGCGAGATGTATTGTATTCAATATTCGCTAGAGGAAATGTTTTTTCGTTCAAGAACTTTTCGTTCGGCTGGTGCTAAGCGCCACTTGAACCGTATTAGATGATCGCATACATTTCTACGAATATCGTATATACAATTATAATAATCATTTTGCTTTTATTTAGTCAGTTTTTGCAGTGTGTGTCGTTCGCGGGACGTAGCGCAACAATTTCTTGTTTCTTCCTGTTAGGGACAGTGAATAGAAAATGCATATACTATCGTTTATGTTGCTATCTTTATGGCGGGCTCTTCGTAAAATGGATGTATGCCAATTTACGTACTGACCTCAAACGACGCTTGGTCAGTAGAAACGGTACGATGAGCTTCGTTCACAAATGTATTGTTGACTGATATATATATATATACACATAATCCACACGTCTATTGCAATAGGAAACAGCTTAACGTGCTGCGCGCTTTTTTTAAATAATACTAAAGATATATCGGCTTAAATAAGCTTCTATCTAATGAAATCTACTAATTTCATCACTCAACCATAATAAGTATTACACTTTAATCATACTTGAAATAATTAACACGACTTGATTTCGTGTTGTTTATTTGGAACAACGAACGCCATTGCTTCATGAAAATACATAGATTTACGTTTACTTTTGTCAAGCGTCTTGTGAGAACAACGGATCAATTCACTCCACTCAATACATTTCGCCAGCAGGTAAAGCAGATCACTCAGCAATATTGGTGGTGTAAGATATGTGCACGTGGCCAGCACTTACACATGTCTTACATGTGGGAGTCTCATACGAAAACGAAAACTTTCGTCGACAAAAAACGACGACGACGGAGCTGAAATTGAGGATGAACCGCCTAGTGTACCAATGTATCTAACATGTTTACTATTACACCGGTCGCTCGCTGTCAAATCCATCTTCCATAAAATACTCGTCTCTCCTTTCCGTTGTTCCATCTGTCCCCGCTTTCAAGGTCTCGCAGATGTTCATTTGTCGATGAAGCCGTTTATTAGCAGCTCGCTCAAAAAATAAGCCTAGACTGTCAAGGCACAATATGGAATACGTTATATTTCGAAACACAATCTTTAGCCTGTTACACGCCATCCACCACACGTACGGCTTCAATTGAAGTCCAACGAAAAAAATTTTATAGGTTTCGTATACAAATGTATTCGGTGCCTGTTGGAAAAAGTAACTAAGTGCGCAATTTATTTTTTCATGCTAGCGCACTAATCAGATCCTGTGGTATTCCAATATTAGACTCACAAATCAACGTGGTAAGTTTTCCCCTCAGTTCGGTTTGCACTGCGTGTAATTGTTGAGGTCTCTAGTCTGATAATGACCATTACGAAAGCAGCGCTTCGTTTCCCATTTCCACCGTTCGTTATGTTAATCTCGCTATCTTAGCATACTAGTTCCATAGGAAGGAATCAATATGGCAAAGCTACGTTTGTTCACTAAATTGTAGGTGTGGTCTCGCTCGTTGTCCACTGGCGACCGTAAAACGCATAGAATCGCCTTTAGCCGCTTGTTTCTTGAACCATCATATTATGGTTATTTTTCTTGAAACAGCGTTCCGAAGGTCCACTCGCATGTTCGCAGGCTTTAAGTTGACAAACCCCTTGTGTTGTGTCTAGTCACTTTTGGTTTTGGGTTTAGTGTTTTCAGTTAGCATCAAGATTATAAATAAACAGAACCTCGCCCGCTAATCGAAGAACTTCTTCTAGGAACATCACGGTCACCTTAGCGATTGTTTTGTACTGCGCACGATTTTGTGGTTACCGGTAATCCTCAATGCATTGTCATGGCATGGAAAACAACCGGTGATTTTATATAGAAATACTCGTTACTGGCAAAAGGTAAGTTGCACGGTTCTTACATTCAGTGCGACAGATGAGAGGATTCAGCTGCTATTGTTTCTCCACGAGACGACTTGATGCGTCCACGCCATTGAGGGACACGCAGCCGTTGTTGGGTCGCGGCTTAATGCTGTGAACAAATTCTGGTCCCACTGTAGAACGTAACTGTCAAATGGGCACTGTGTGTTCGTAGCACCAATCGGGCAGTATGATAGTTTTTGCTTGCCCCTGTATCACAGGAGGTATTACTGGCTTCCTAGTGAGTCTCGTACACAGTCACATTTTCTTGCTTAGTATATAAGCGCAACAGCACAGCGCTATCTTCAACGATCTATTTTACAGTTAGATATGAAGCTGTTTAGGGTAACCGTTCCATTCTTTTCTCTCAGGCTGAACTTGCCTTCCGTTGTCTCTGTGGTCGCTTACCTCCCTGCTGTCCTACCGAAGTCTTCATCATTGTTGATTATGTCGCCACCAGCCCTACTATCGTCACTCACTCGCTCAGTCAGAAGGCAGCGAAAAAAAGAGTCGCCCGCTGGTTCTTGCCTCCGACCCTTAGTAGCACGGTAGACGTAATGGGCGTCAGTTGCTCGTCATTATCATCATCGGGCTGGGAGACGAACCGCGTTTTATCGCGAAAACTCGCGGAAAATTCAGAAGCGGTGCAGAGGTCGCAGGACATGGTCAGTGAGTGGTATATATATATATAGGTAGATAGATAGGTTCAGCTTGTCGCCTCTTGACGAACGGGCGGCGCAGGTTTATCGGCAATGACGATTAGATAGTGACAGCAGAGAAAGCAGTCGCGAGAGTGTGATCAATCCTCGTTTACAGGAAGAAACTTATCTATTCAAGTGCCACCAACGACAACAGCCCACGTAACTGCGGTTATCGTCTCTCTCATTTGGAATGAGAAAAGGTTGTGGCAGCCATTAATCTCTCCATATAAAGGGCAATCAAGTTGAAAGAATGGATCGAAGCGAACTTCGAAACGCCTGCAGTGGACCAGGCAGCACTTACTGTTAATGCGTTTTGATTATTTTGACGCTTTTCGCCGTCTGGACTACTGAACCGGCCACGAAAAAGGGAATATCCAACCTATATTTCGATAATTTACTTGCTAATACTGCTGTGTTCTGTTCTTCCAGTATCGTCACAGTTCCTCCACCAACTTTAGTAAGTGTTGCACTTATAGCTGTGGCAGTTGGAACTACCGTAGGGGCGGTGTCGAAAGGAGGCACGCTGACCTGTGCAACAATGCACTAAATGGCTATCCAACTGGTCGGAGTCAGGGATGAAGTCGTTTCGCCACTTTGTTGAAATTACAGTTTTCTGCAACAGTATTTGACAGCTACAAATTGGTCGGTGAATGAAGATGGTCAGATAGAGCTTCCTTGATTATTCTCTAGCTATCATATCAGAAAAAGATTAGAAAGAACTAGAATAGGCCATAAAGTGTAACTATAGAAATGACGATAAATGGTACATTTGTGTACGCAAGCGTGAATAGTTTACAGTTAATTATGGCAATTGAATTACAATGTAGCTACTATGTAATGATATATATATATATATATATATATATATATATATATATATATATATATATAATGTTTTAATCACCGAAGCCCACAAACGAAATTTCGTATTTTTATTTAGATATCATACAGTCCGATTGTAATTTGTAAAGCTTGAGCAATGTACTGGTCACTTCCGAATGAAAATGTATCTTCATTTGATTTGCGATCTTCTCAAAAAGTCGAAATCCTCAACCAACTGTAATTGTCTTCTACTTTATTGGTTTCTCCAACAGATTTAGAGTCACTCGATCTGGTAGTCGTCTTTTGACCCGGACTAGTATTACTTGCTTACCATTGGGCGCTCTAGATAATTTTCATAATAATCTCTAAATCAATGACAACGATAAACACAAGCAGCCATGCTAAACAAAAAAAACTTGCACCGATTTACTAGCCGCGCACATTTTCTTTCACAATAAAACAATCAACAAATGTATCCAATGAGGGAGATCCGCCTCGGAGAAATCCCTAGAAAACATTCGTTAATTACTTTATTTTTGAACAAACAGGGTCTGTCGGTGATTCGGTGTGAATCGCAAATCATTTTAAACAACATTTATTCTAACTTTAAGTTCACCATTACGTTCTGCGTGGCTCAATGTGTTCGCGTTCATAGTAAGTGGACTTAGTAAAATCCACCTGCGCTGTAGCATCCGAAGCAATAGGTCTTAAGGAAAAGCCTTAAAGAAAAGTCAATCTTAAAGAAAAGCGGATGCCCTTTCAGGTAGGTCCATCGAGGTGGTTAAGAAGGATTGTCACAATTAGACCTTTCTCTTTTATAGGAAATTGTCATTATGGGTTTTGAAATCGAACGCGTATAATAGTCTCTCTGAAAAATATATTCTGCTGCCAGAGTAACATATACGGTACGTTGAAAGTATATGTGATGTTGCAAGTTTGCAAAAACCTAGTAATTATAAGTTATAAGTATTCACCAAAAATCATATTGATGGTTTATCGTTGGCATTAAATCAAGTGACTGACTAGATAAATATAGATAGTGTATCTGATCGATGTTACTTTGCGATCTACATTCATACATACAACGAATGCTTTCTTCACCATAGTAACCGCCGTTTTTGTAAGGACGTATACCATAACAGATTTTAAGTTTTAAATTAAAAGTAGGTTTACACAAAACAAACAAGTACACGAATTTAAATCTTTGTTACTAATCGGCCTCTTCAAGCGTTAAGTGAAGTTAGCTACCCCCCATTGTAGCAATTAAGTACATATCAATTATAGAAAATGCACTTTTTCTATATATATATATATATATATATATATATATATTTTTTTTTTAATGGAAATTTTTAACTTACAGCTGCTACTAATTTGTTTGCTCTATAGCACTTGTAAGCACGCAAAATGTTTCTGTGTCTTAAAAGCTGGACCAAGCGAAGACGTAATCGTTAATCATTGTCACAGTATGATTTGTGTCGTTTACCAATATTTCAACGGGACAAGAAAGAGCACTAGATTTTTTAGTAATGGTGACGACTATTTTGGGGGTATATTAATTCCGTTACGTGACACGCCAGCGAACTAAATCACAGCTGCGATTTGCCAATGAGTTTACTGACTTTCTTAACCTACTGCTTCAGTTCAATACTGAGCAAAAAAATAATTCGTCCTGTGCTAACGCTGAGCAGTTACGAACAGAAAATTCCTTTGGAAATTAAGCGCCACCAGTGGCAGTGCAGACAGTATCCATCGGCTCAGATGTATTTACAACTGCTGTCAATTTTAATAGCAAATGTTGACTAGTTGTTTGTCTTAACAGCGCGAAAACGATTGGTTTTTTTTAGACGTACAGAGTTATTCCCATTGTTGGGCTTAGCCCATTACGGTATCATCTATTTAACCTTGAACGAGGCTAATGGTATGGACGACTTTGTGGGTCAGGGAAATTCATAGAAAAATTGGTAGTGGACTTTATGTTTCGTCATGTCTTGTTGTACAGCTATACGAGCGTATATGCTCTATCCCTATGTTTCTTTAAAATTTGATCTTGCTCTAATGCAAAGGTAGCAATCTCTTCTCAGCTATACCGGTGCAACGAGCATCAGTTGATTACTTTTTATTGAAAATGGCACTTGTAACTGTCTACGATTAATCGATCAATCCTGCAAGCGTGTTGTTTGCTTAACGAGTTATCACACAAAGGGAACAATACGAAATTAGATGCCATACGGTAGCCTAACACAGCGTACCTGTCTTTTAATTATTGCCAATTTGAATTTCGCGACTTGCTCGTCCCATAGCTTCCCTGAAGCGTTAGAATCCTGCTTGTAGATGAAGAGAGCAATGACCCAAGTTAAACTCACCGATGGTAACCCGAAATTACAAGCTAACTAGTCGGCTGGTGTTCGCAGAATTACGAATGGCGCGATCGTCATGGTCGACACTGAGAAAACAGCGTCCGGAAGTGCTTGTTTTACTGTTGTGCTGTGCAAAAATATCGGGCAACAAATTGCCACCTGCCATTCAAAACTTCGCGGGTGTTTTCTTTTACAAGATTAAAGATTACAAGACGGCCACCTTGTGCCTGGTTGCGTCGACCCCAATCGGACATTGGACATCATCATCATTGATTAATATAATAACAAAGCCAAATTACGACTAAACACGCAAAATGTAAGCCCTGTATTTTCATATTGATAAAGGTAGAATATTTCACTATTAAGTTTCATTCGGAACAAGTCACAACATAATTTAGAGTAGGTTAGGAAAACTTGGTCTACATCGTATACACCTAATGCGTTGCCGGCGCGAGAAGTCAATGTTTGCTCCAGACATCAAACCTATGGCACCTGATGGCCAACTAAGCGCCAGCACACGAGACATCGTGTATCTTAATAACTTACCAGACTACTGCCGTTGGCGAGGCGAAAAACCCCATAGTGATATGTATTACAGCATGACTAGTTAATTCACAAATCCATCAGTCATCCCTGTGAGCTTTGCTTGAAGTGATATTTGAACCTATTCTGAAATAAGGCTTTGAAATAAGAGGTCCAAAACTTAGTTGGAGAGAATTCCACGATACCAGGCAAGTCTGATCGGCACAATGCATTTGCCCTTAGCCTACCGAGCAAAAAAACAATAACTAATAACAAAATTAAAACTGCCAAATTTGTTATTACCTTTATCGCAACATCGTTTCAGCAACGCTTTTCATCTTTTCGCTTTTTTATCTATTGTGTATCTTCTCTTTCGCCTATTCCACTTTAAAATGTGAATTTAATTTTTAAGAGGCAATCCGTTGTTGGAGCAAGCGTAGCAGCTTTTCAAGTTTGTTCCCAAAGTGTGTTATTTTATCAGATGGTTTCATACCTACCATCTCCTAAGCGCACTGTTAAGGTTTATGACGTGCTGGCAGTGTTTAATACGAACAGTAAAGAACTTATATAGATGATAGCCGACGGCTGACTTTTCCCCTGCTAGGCCTATAAAATTATATTGTCTGCGACGTAATCACCAAAAAACCGGTAAGTTCGAAATACTATATGGCCAATAATGATATTTTTCTCATATTCGTCTTCCCAGTGAATGAATTTTCGTTTGTAACGCAGATTATTGTAAAGGTAAAATAAACTACGTTGAATAAAGGAAATGTTTCGTGACAACACTTAACGATCTACTAACGCAACTAGTATTTTAAGCGTCAATCTCTTTACCTAGGCTCACTTCGCTACATATAGTTTCTGCTACCTGTGGCTTCTATCGAGAGACAACGCTCCGATTTGCGAAATATTTTCTCCAATGTTTAAATTAGAATTTGTCCTGTAAAAAGAATCTGCATCACGTTGGCGTTATGCAATCCCAAGCTTATTGTTGAAAAGGACTTGTTCGTAATGTAATTATTTGCAGAGTAAACAACAAAAGCTAGTAGCAGCATCGTTCTGTGATACAAAATTGCTGAGTACATAGTAAATGAGATAACAATATATATATATATATATATATATATATATATATATATATATATATATATATATATATAAAGAGAGGGGGAGAGAGAGAAAGAGCGGCAACAATGCTCATTTAGAACCCGCAAGAACCTATTTAATCAGCAGATAGTAACCCATCTCATCGATCTTAAAAGTCACTGTGCCGCATAGAACTTGTGAGCAAGAAATATTAACTACTGAAGAGCAATGATGTGCGGTAACACTTAAGTTACATAAGTTTACAACATCAGTACTCCTTTTTCTACTAAATTAGGATTGTTTTTATCTCAGCTTCTCTTAACCCAAATAAGGGACGATGCTGAATGGGCGAAAATGAACGATGCTCTGAAAAACGGAAAAAGACAATTATTTCAGAACAGAATGTATTAAGGATTGTTGAAATTCTCGTAGGCGGATTAAGGATCCAGTATAACCATCAAAGGTCAATTTCTCCTAGTTTTGACTAAGCATTTTATTAAGAAACCGCATTTCTTCGAAATTTAAATTACCTACTTGCCTATTAATCCAGATTAAAAGCTGGCTTACAGCTTAAACTAAAATTATAACCCGTCCGTGGGAAGAAGATGCAAGCAATTTTTTGCACAGATCTCTTATCGCTGATGGAAGCTAGATATGATACACTACACGGTGACCACACAAGCAGGAACGTCCATCCGAATTGCAAACGATGAAAGCCTAATACAGCCAGGACGCACACTGCCCACTTCGTTTTGTCATGCGAGTCAGTCAGATGTTGAAAAATTATGCGCTATGTGTGTATGTGTTTTGTCTTCAATTTGAATATTAGATGCGTCGTTTACGTGACATTTTGCCTATTAGCACTACTCTAGAATTTTTACTGGCTTTCTAAGATGCTTGCTCGTTCTTTGCGTACCGGATGTCAGTTAGCCTGATACCATGGATCAATGCTCTGCATGAAAGTTTTCGTACTGAAAAATGTTTACCGACCAGTTACATTTGCAATAAATTTCCTTGGCACATTAGAGGCAATTGCTTGTCCATACGTTTGTCAAAGTTTCTCTGTATTCTTTCTATTTCAAGATCTTCTCTGACTTCAAGCCAGACATGCCGCCTATAGGCTGTATTCCAGCTCATACCATCAATGTAGTTTTCTGTTTCTATCACGTGTGCTACGAATGAAGGTACTTCAGAGAACGATCTGATCATTTGCTTATCTATTAATTACTTTCGTAGGCGTAAATATGTATATACGTTTCTATGTACGTACTCTAACGATATACAAATAGTGCATAATGAAATTGGACAAAAAAATATTCTCTCTGTCGGAATAGTCAATTTAATAAAAGTGTTCGTGTCAATCTTATTGCAGCACTAACGTACTACGTATATTAATAATGTATTTACCCGTATAATCGTATGTTTCTGTTTATTCTGCTATTTGCACGTGTGTGTGTAACGACCTCTGCCCCGGGCAGAGTATTAGTTTAATATTCGTATAAATTTTATATTAAAACAATAAAAGCAAAGAAAGAGATTTTTCTTTTTTATACTCTAAAACAGCTAAAACAGTATGAATAATATACGTACCAGTTTGTTCACAAAAAGTCCAAGCCTCGTTTATGAATTACGGAGAATTAATGATCCTTATGAGGGTTTTATGAACGTTTACACTTCACTGACCAATCATTGTTATTATCAGTAAAAACAGAAGCACCAAATAACTTTATGTAAAAGCTGTCTCTAGAAACAGTTTCTCGACTTACCAGGCCTAACAAGTAGCTCGACTAACTTTAATCACAGAATGAGTAATGGGTAACATGCACTTAACACGTCCTAACACAACATAATCATACATACTAAGTAAAGGGATAGCACTTTCACCCAAATGAACACCTTCACCATGCTAGCATTTTCCGGTCATAAATCCCAGCTAATATTCTGTTTGTAAAGAGCTAGGGCCGGCGCAAAAGGCTAAGCTCTTGGGTTTTTGCCTTGAACAGTTAGCTGAGTGACGCTGATCGTCGCGCTAAGCTCGCACGCTATGAGCAATTGTCAGATGGAGAGGGAACAATCGCAACGTAGGAGAGGATATTTCGGGTTTTGGAAAGGAGGATGTTCGACACTGTGAGCACCAGCCGGATGCTAGCTACGATTGCTCGACCGATATGACCCAACGAACAACAAATTTGTCTGAATATCTTATCGGTAGTTCTAGAAATTTAACTTGTATTAGGACGTTATCGTATTATACTGTAACTGTTTGTAACTTTTTCTATCTGACTTCTCCGCTGTGAGCCTCTCGTGATGGGTGGGAAAAGAATTAGTTGGGTACAACGCAAATCCACAACGAAAAAAAAGTGGCTTTTAAGTAAGTAGGCTTACCATTGAAGCAGCACCATAGGCAACTGAGGCTGTTAACAGTTGAATTGCCGCAAAGAGATCTTTTTTCAGTACGTGGGGTTGCCACTATTAACTGTTGTCTTAATTTGTGACTCTCAGAATTTTGAGCATTGACGCGTGTGTTTAGCAAACATTAAAGTACGACCGAAGGATTTCCTCTTGTTACCATCATCGTGATCGCTGCTAGATCTATGCATATATATATATATATATATATATATATATATATATATATATATATATATATATATGTAGGACTGATGAATATAATAAAAACTCAGGAATCTCAAGCGGCAGAAATGCATAACAAGGACAAAGCGTTGAGAGTTATCTGGATGATTTTGTTGACGGCGTGTCTCTGCTCTAGAAAACAATTTCTACATACGAATCATTGAAAAATGTTTTCAGGCCATTTTGATGCACCTTCAAGCCCTTTAAATCTAGTGTTAGTTGTAGATTTTCTCCTTTGCCTCATTTAGATCTTGCTTGGGCATAGGCAATATCACAGACCGCTGACGCTGGTTAACTAAAACAATTTAGAGTGTTTGTTGGGAGTTCGTTCGACACAGCGACATCGAAGCCACAGCTGATCTTCGTTCATGTTTCAAATACGAGCCTCCTATCCTCTAGGCGATAACGATTTAGTGGTTTTGTGCTAAAAAGACTTACTTTTCGTAGCGTGGCATTCGATAGCAAATGAACTGCGGTAACAAACGCCTTACCAAAACGTGTCATAATTGATTCTGAACATGCTATCTAAAGATAAAGACTTCGTCTATTCACACACACTTTCTTGATATAAGTTTATCGGAAAACCTTATTCACTAATCAACATAATTTCAAATATTGCGATCGAAAGAAAGCTGAATTAGAAAGAAATCAACATTTTTATTACCATTTACTATAGTTTGATCACAATCACGTAAATCAGAAATAACCTTAGTGCTGGGTTTAGCACACGCACGGTACGTACCATATAAGAGCAGAAGATGCTTTATGTTACAAAAGAGTTTGCGAGCCAGGAAGTAATGGATGAGAAAATTTGTACTAATTTATAATGAAGATGTGATATCGTAGCTACGCCTTTGACAAAATGATACATTCGCTGCAGGGAAACCGGCCATTTCGGTCGGTCACGTTTACTTACGGAATATCACTGTGTCTTTTGCACTTTCAGTTTCAAAAGACGTGCATATCAATCCTTTTTACGTTATATTCCTCTATTATTATAACTAAATTATGATAAAGATAATGAAGAGTTTCTGTAATTTAATTGAGCTCTCTCGTGCTTACTGTTATGTTCAATAGTTGTTGTTTGCTTTCTTCAACGTCTAACACGTTCAGTGTGACACACCACTTGATGACTTATCCTAATGTATCACGCCGACCCTCGCCTGAAGGGGAAGGAGGCCCCGTCAAGGCACGCCACTTCAATAACCGTATAGGCTTTCCCGATAATCCAGTGTGACCGCAACGATAGACGCATGGTCATTCAAGAGTTTGTGCCGTCACAGTCCTGACAATTGCATCTAGCTGTCAGTTAGCTGCAGGTAGAGTAGCTAGCTTTTGCCATTTGCTTTATTTAGCCTGCTTTCTAATCTAAAAAAGAAATTGCGCTAATCGCGCGCTTTTCTCCGAACATGCGTTAGTTGAAGATCATTTAGCCCAGTGAAAGCACAGTAGTTTGCCAGTGGTTTTGTTCCCTCGTTTCGTGTGATACCTATTTGCCGTACATGACATAGTGACGTTGGTATAAATAACTGCATTTTAATGAGCTTCACGGCATAGCTTTAAGTCTACATCTGCGGCGAAGTAGCTCTCCTGCTGCAATATTAGCAAGTGTGATTTTTGGTTATAAAGTGCATATCTGCTTTTTAGGAATCACGGCCAGCGCAACCATGACGGCTGAAACTTTTGCTTGCAGTACAACGCTTACGAGCAAATCGAGTCACGGCTCAAGTAAAAACAACAAAAACATCGATGCCCCATCGTCAAGCATTATCACTCCTGGGGCGGGCCAGACTTCTCCAAATGGTCAAAGCGCTAGCACGAATGCTGCAACCATTCAAAATCGTGAGTGCATCCAGATTGTTAGCTTTTTCCACCGAAAAACAGCGGAGACAGCATGCCTCGAAGCACGACTTGCTAAAAATCAGGTGACACGTGTCTGCGTCATTCGACCGAATAGTGTATTCTACACGCTCTCAGAAAGTCTTAGCCGCAAGCTATACTGCTGCCTTGCCACGCGTGATAATGCAGCTCACGCAGGGAAGCCCATCTTCACCTGCAGGAAAAGTATCGTCGAGGTATGTCAAGATATACACGTATAGATACACGTTCGATTAATCGTGAACAAGCAACACGTACGCTCGCACTCAAGTCGTTGCCAATATCAATAGCCATATAAAAGTTGTTTTTTTTTTTGAACTCACACAAGAAAACCCTGCCTCGACGGAAATAATTAGTCCTCGTCTATCTCACTCAATGGCTAAACAACCGAGTAGTTCTATGACAGTTTTATGCTATATGGGTCCTTAGTTATGTTCCTAGTGGAGCATTGAAGTGTACTGTGCGCAACAAAATGTATAGATGTCAATGGTTTGAATATTTCACCTTCAAGCCGTTCCAGATAAGAAAATACTGGAAAACGAAATCAAGGTCATTTCGATCCATAAAAGCTCTCGAACGAACTGCAAAGCATACACAAATTATAAAGACAAAGGGATACCTGTATTTATTAATAAAATTACTGTTAAAAGTATGAGCCGTCAGTCTACAGTAACTTTTCAACATGCCACATAATAGCTTTGTGTACAATGTACATATTAATAAATTTAAAGGCAACGGGACTCAGCTTTGGTCTAGTAATTTCTAGCTGACATCAATTAGTGTTTGACGTTTGGCATCAAAATCTGGAGCGTTTAATGTCTAAAGCAAAGGCGTCTATTTTCCGTATTTCATAGCAAAAATATCATACTCTTTTATTCCTACGAGAAGGTAGGCGCAAATAACTTGATGTTTTCGAGGCAGGTTATATCCGGTAGTAATAGTCATTTGAGTATTACACTTTACTTTTAATCTATGGATAGCCGACCTAGTCGCTGACAACTCGTCTTGTACATATTCTCAATTCTGTAGTATATGAAAGCATGTATGTCATTTCAAAGCCACGCCGATCCTGCTGTAACGGGCATCAGTAGTTAATAGTATTTTGCCATTTAGCCATAATGCACGTAATGTTACATGATAATTTTGTTTGTCTATCCATATTCACTGATTTATTTGAAGATAATAAACCTCTCGCACGACGGCCATACGCGCGTTGGCGTGCTCTGCACCGATGGGATGCTGCACATCTTGCTGTTGCTGACGCATGTCCCACAACAGTGGGACCGCGTCGTCTCAATCGCCACTGAACTCGACGTGTCCGTCTACCGCGAAGTGGCCTACACGCGCAGCTTTAACTCGCTGTTCTGGCCGTTGCCTAATGGAGACGATTATGCCATCGTCATGTACGATATTGAAACAAGGCAAGCGAGAACAATGTTGACGCGCGTGAAAAGCTGCACATTGCAGGTAATCTCTCGCAGGACTCCCCAGTGTGTGCTTGTACAATCTATTAGCATTAACTGCACAGGAGCTTCACGGAATCAAAGATGAAAAAAAAACAGCGCGTTATAATGTCACAGATCCAGAGGCATATTACCTCTAAGCCATCTGGGAAACTTTTTGTTATGAAAATAATGACGTTATACTTGCCACTTCTAACGTTGTATGCACTTTTAACCCTGTCAAGAGGAAGAATATTACACATTAAGTTTGATAACAAATCCCGTTTTTCTTATTATATGAAAAAACATGACTTCTGATATTTATATGATAATAAGCTATTATTTTAGCTATTCTTCGTCATTGTTACCAAATGATATAAGCTGTCTTGCTAGAAAATAGCGGGCTTCGTTTCGAAGAAGTTTTCCAACCACGTTTTGAAATGTCAATTGCTATCGAAAGTTAGGCTATGAAAATAACTCTCCCTAATAATGAACAGAAAAGATGGAATCCAGCAGCGCAAGGTCCAAGGAATGTGAAAGGTGCGACAAAACCTTCCATTCGAAGTCCGAAACCTTTGATAACAGCTTTGATGATGTTTGCTTTGTGTGAGATCGTATAGAACGGGATGCCAGTTTCATCTCTCCGACTTTTTCTCCCAGATAACGTGGTTCATTCAATGCAACTGGGCCAGATAAACGTACTGACCAAATGTTTGGTGCAGAATAAATGCTTCACAGTGAATTAGGTCCTTGCAGTCCCACATGAAAGGCATAATCTTTTTGCATGAAGATCTGGCTGGAACATGGGCCTTGATTTCTTTTTTGGAGTCACCCATTCTAATCCTTTAAAAGGTACCACTTCCCATCCTCGGTAACGATTCTGTGCAACAATCGATCATTGCAGCGGCGCGACGCTCAATACAGCGTTAAGCTGTAATTCGTTGTTAGATTCAGAGATATTACAAGGTGCCCAATGCCCAACCCTAAGGAATTTCAGGTGCTTAACGGCCATCTTGTTTTTTGTCCAATTATATTATTAGCAAGTTGTTCGCCGGTCGTCCTAATTCAAAAGTGCCCAACTCTGACGGTCGGCCAAAGCGAGAGACATCGTCTACGTTCCGAATACCGTTTTTAAATTTGACAAACAATAGTTGAGCGGCCCTCTCAATGATAAGGCTATTACCGTATACGAAATAATATCCAGAGCTGTTTTGGCAGCGTTCTGGCGTCGACAAAATACCCATCTTTGAGGAATTCGCTTGAGGAGTTCGAATTCTTCTGATATTAGCTGTCGGAGTACAGGAAGCCTCTTCGAATTATATACTAAAAAATAAACAAGTGAACGGAAATGGGAAATTAAAGCTTTGGAAGAAATCGCGGGAATTTATTACCCAGACTAATATATATATACATTTTTTATCCCTTTTTCTGGTTATCTGGCGTAACATTGGCGTAAGCAATCGAGCAAAGACCGATGTCAAACGTTACAAGTCGGAAAGTGTTTACAATAATAAAAATCTACAAGAGGGAAAGCTTGGGGAGAAATGCCTAAGTGACGCGGGGTTTTTTTACACCAGCATAAATATGCACACGTTATAATTTAACAAAATCCTACTGATCCACATTATATGTAATTAATGACATTATGGGCATATACGGGTACTAAAGATAATTCAATTAAGCAAACGCGATTGAAAGCCTTGCGATATATAAACCATTTTAGATATTGTGAGTTTTTACATAGGTACATAATACTGTGAATTGGTGTTGCAGGTCAAACAAGACGCCCTAGTTGTGCTCTTTTATGATCATGGCGTATTGTTCGTTCCGTTCAGCGAGTTAAATGCCAAGTTCAATCCAAAGTTGTCCGAAAAGGCACAAATGAACAATTCTACTGACGATTTAAGTTTTCGCTCAAATCGCACGAGTGATCCAGGCCTTGGGAGGTAAGGCCAGTATTAACGAGTTTCCAGATGAAAAAGAGAATTCCCTGTACTTACCTTACGTGCTCGCATACATCATGTACATCAATAGCAATATCTTATATTATTTACGTTCTTATCTTTATTCGCTTTTTCGAGTATCTATATTAAATAACATATGCATATGTACTTTTTGAGGTGTATCTATTCCTAAGCCTATCTAGCATACCTAGTGAGTCTTAGGGGTAGCCGGCTCTGAACGACGTGTTTTTTGGGTATTTTCATATTCTCATCCTATTCATGTTATTTACTACAGCAATATATTATAGTCGCCTTTTTACTGACATGGACAGGTCATGCTCGATGTTGGATTTTACCAGCGAAGTCCCTCCCATCCGCGCTGATTATTGGAACCCAAGTACTACCAGCATCAAACGAGTTCAAGCCGAAGCTTTCGAGCCCTCAATGAGGTAAAGATGACCATGTCGTCTAGGAAGATCAACACCAAGCACTACCCCACTAATTCGGTTTTCTCTCAAGCATATATAACTTTGGAGTTATGGGTACATTCCTCATTATTTTGTAACCCACTGATGTCAATTGCAGAGACAATTATTAAGACTTTTTGCGTTAAATTTCGTATCTATGATGTGAAATTTACTCATGATTTAAGCACGCTAAAAAATGAAAGTTTACATACCATTGGATCGAGGAATTTGGATAACCAAAATTTTCTTTTAAAAGGAGAAAAATACCAGCGGTAATTTTGAAATCTTACGAGTTACGAGACTGTCTATCCTTCAGACGAATCATGAAATAGCAAAAACCTAACTTTATTCGTTGTTCCAGCGATCAGCACCTGCGCGGCTATTGTCTTTCACATGACCGCACTGTTGTATTCGCAATGTACGGAAATACAGTATACAGGCTTAGCGGTACTGGATGTGCACCGCTCGCCAGCATCGAAGTACCAATCGATATGGACAGCACGTTCAGAGTTATGTTTCTTGGGCGCATTACTGTGCTACAGGTTCGTCATGACACTAGATCAGATTCGTAGGAACGACATACGACATGATCGTATGATAAAACAGAAATAAGCAAAATCTTATCACTATATATGTTGTTTATGCTAATAAGACTATCGTTAGAAATATAACATATTTTTGCCTAAGAAATCAATCTGGCCGCTCTGTGCAAAGCTAGCTACACGGAATGCTATTATTACCGCACTGGTGGATTATTGGGTATTTGGAAGGACGCAGGACTTAACGTGAATCTAGCTAGATTAGTTAATTATTGTTTCGATTCGTTATAAAAAAGGATACCGGATAAAACGGATTAGTACATTCGCTACAAAATGACCACTGTTTATTTTTATACTTGCTAAAAAAATTAAAATATTGACGTTGTTTTCGGGCACTTCTTTGATCGTAAACGTATCACGAATTAAACGCTTAAACTAATATTGAAATAACACATTTTCATGCATTTATGGAGAATGCGTGAATTTAGCACTGAAACATTTTCTTAACTATTTAATTTATACACAACAAACAGCGTTTTGTTTACCCAGTGCCAAAAACGCAATATTATACTCACTTCTTAGTTGCAAATAAAGCCATTTTGTCTTTATAGCCATTCTCTAGAACATCAATCAATCAATTTTCTATTGATTTACTTTGGTCTAGCCAAAAATGACCAAGCCTAATGTGCAAGAATCCGTGCATCCAAATCTGCTTCAAGCTTTTGCAATGCAGCTTCAACAATTTTTCGCCATACGCTACTAGGATTGTTACGGAGAAAGATGACTTCGCATTACTTTTCATATCTTTCTTATTCATTCGATACAACTGAACCAATACAGATTCTTGTTGATTACTTTGTCTTTTCCAAGCGTTGTCGTTCAGTTTAGAAGACCCTCCATGTCCTACTACATGCAAATTACATGTATATTTATAATAGACATCTGACCTGACCCTAAGCTTATCTATAGCTCCCGAAGCTATCCGTTCCTTTGTCTCTTTCATAGTGACGTAGAGATACCAGTTCTCGTTACTCGTAACAATTCTGTGTAGAAATGGCTTCGTATAGCTCGGTGTCGGGCGACACATCGAATGATAATAAAAGGTCATGTTTTTTAAAGTTTTACAAACCACCTTCAAGTAATCCTTTAAGGTATAAATACACGGTATACAACACATATATCCCAGGGTTGCAGGGTTGGCAGCTGTCGAGTCTCGGTGAAAAACAAAATATAGCCAGTGTCAAAAACACATATTTTCTTCAGCAGGAACGTACAACTCCAGTCCACCTAAACATTAGTTACCGTACGGAATTCTATAGTGCACGGGGATTCTGTTTACCGCACAATGAAATTACAACGGGTCTGGAGAGGAAAAATAGCATTTTCTAATGGTATAGAAGTAAATAGAACGCCATTGTTTATGAGCTAACCTAATAAATAAACAATGTACTGTGTTGCAGGGCGACACGATGACGGCGGCGTACCTTAATTCAAACAAGCCGGCCAAAATACTACATAAGAACTATCGTAGCGCGGGGTTCGGCTTCGTTTGGGATGAGACCGGCGTGTACCAGGTTGGGGAGGACATGAGTTATTATTGCGACCTCGATTATTGGACACCAGAGTAAAAAAGAAACAAACTTTAGTCCGGAGAGATGCCCGCCTTCACCCAACTGTAGTGCCAAAAAGCTACGGCGCTCCCCTGGTGTATTCTAGTGAAACTAATTCTTCTTTCCGAATTTTCTAAAAATAGCGAAATTTTTGAAGGAGAGGTCGGAGTTTACAGAATAAACCAGTGTAATAACTTCAGATTCCAGAAACTGCTGTTTTCAGTGTACTACATTTGGTAGTATATTTGCAGGGTACCGTTTTTTTTCAAAATAACGGCAATAACTCTTACGTTCTTTTATATTACTGAAATATAGAGTCATTGAGCGTGTCCGTAAATGGACTCCTACTGAGCATGAACGGGTTACTTTCGATAGACGCATTAGATAATGATAATATATAAAATTGTTGTTCCGAGATATGACAAATGACCAGCAGAAGAGCTTTGATTTTAAAAACGCACAGATCTACAGTCGCTAATAAAAATGCACTTTATTATATACTAGGACCTAGATTAAGCGCTGATACTTACTTACACATACTGTCTGCTTTGGCTTTGGCCATTTTTTCATCCAACTCCGCTTTGTTGCAAACAGATCCGTATGTGTAATCCGGTTGAGATGCCCGATGACTTGCAAGCAGACATAATGGCCTACAGTACAGCGTATCGAACAGCGGACACCGTCGGACGCGCAATAAGCGGCGAACAGGTAAGTCATTAATTCTGGAGTTTATAAAAAGCGTGGAAAATTCGTTTCAAACTTCTTTAAATTCAAAAAACTCTTATTAGTAACCGGGAAGGCAGAAACATTGGTATGTTTATACTCGTTTAAGAACGCCATATTTAAAAAAAAAACAGTCGACTTAAATTTTGGCTTAGCAGTAGTCCCAAAAGCCCAAACAAGTGAAGAAACCTAAAATATAACATAATATGACATCAAAGTCATTGTGGTCATCACAAATGACCTTAGTGAATTTGCTAATGATGCTTTCATTCATAATTGAGTCATTGAGGACCGCCCATGGTGACGCATGAAAATTTTTCTTGCAATCCACGCGAGCTGTATGATGATTTTCAATGGTATACACCGTTGATTCTATAAGTTTATGATTTCAGTGGGAGTTCGTCTGGCGAAAAGACATTAAACAATAGCTGATGTTCATCCCAAATATAAACCTTCTCTCTGTGGTTCGATAGCGTTTTTCGTAATTTTTGTCTAGAGAAAACTAGTTTTTTTTCTGGTAGCACGAATACTGGATAAACGCATTTTCGGTACAAACAGCAGGCCAACCTTCGATTCAAATCCTGGACACTTTGTTTACGATAAGCTTAAAAGCAGTGTTAGTTGAGTAATGGCTGTTTTAGAACTCCGCTATGTCGCAGCTGCTTACAGTGTGCCTCACTCTTTATATATTGTGATCTGTCTTTGATAGCTGACTACTGAAACATGTGCACCAGGTCCAATGTTCCAGTTCGACGCCCAGAAGCATCTGGCTTCACCCGCTCTTCTCAGTATTGCAGGAGCCTATACATCGACAAATGAAGATGTAGCCGAGAAGTTCATGAAAGCTGCTCGAACTGGCTGGCAGCATATTGATGATTTCAACGGTGGTCGCAGCAAGCTTGGAACCTTTAGGCGATTAGATAACATCCGTAGGAAATTAAAAGTTGTTCACTAGGTACGACTGTTGAATCTTACCAGACTGCTGGGCAAGCGTCATTCGCAGTTTTACGCTCCCACTCAATGGATCCAATGATTCAAAGAGAATAAAATCCGACCTTCAGAGGTTGATGCGCGCGCAGTAGAGAGACGTCTGAAGACATCTTCCTCGGTCCTTTTATATGGATGTTCTCTCTTGCGCGGCAATTGAACAATAATTTAAGAAAACTGCTAAATATTCCGAAGATGAACAAAAAGCAAATACAAATACAGAAACATCAAAAACAACAACAGTCATTCCCGGTTGGGTTTTACCATGACTATTTAACATTATAACAAATGTTTTTATTCAAACACAGTTGGGCATTGAACCATATTTTCAACGGTGAATATTTACTCTTTGACGAGGTTTACGGAGTGATGGGGCAAAAAAATAGCTTTACACATCGTTCTGGGGTCTCTAGAGGTATGAGATTGACGACGCGATGGAAATTGCACCAACTGGCCAACGAGACCGATAATTGTTTAGGATTTAAATCTGAAAAAAGCTTAATTTCTGAAAGACTAGGTTGCATAGAACGGTTGTGATAAAGTTTGTAAAACCAAGAGCTCTAAGAAAGAAGGAGCGTTTTTGGTTTTTAGGTATTTTTTTAAAACCCCGAAAAGGACTTAGCCCCGAATTCAAATATCTCTGAAGAGTTCTCGAATCAAGACATTGTGAAATACTCAATGTACATAAATGTATATTTTAATTACGATTTGTGTACGTGTATGATAAACAGATTTGAGAAAATAATGATCAATTTTAAAATAATAATAATAATCTTAAAATAATAAAAACATTCCTATTCGTTGATGAACATATGAAAATACGCCTTTTCTATTAGATTAAATCCGATATTAGTGGTTGAAAATAAATCCAGCACATGCCAAGGAAAAAGTGCTTGAAGCTGTTAGCACTTCTTTTATCCCAACATCCAACGTACCCCTAAGTTGCTTTAAATTTGCAACTTGAAATTAACTAAACTTTTCAATAAAGTACGAACAAAATATTTATAGTAATAGAACTAACTTATACCTTGTATGATAGTCAGTCAAGAACCTTGTATCATAGTCCGGCTGCCAAAGGTCATCCTTTTTTAGAAACAAACCAGGGAAAGTGTATATATTTTCCCTGTTATATTATATAACAACAAAAGTGGTGGGTTAAACATACTTTTTTATTTCTCACCTATGTCTGTATATACCACCCTTAATGAGGGCAAGAGATGAGTCGAGATGGAGTGCCTATACATCATGATATCATCAGCAACACCAACTATAATGTATCTGTGCTAAGGTGTTGTCAATTAGGGATAGGAGTTTCGAAACACACGCAGTCCGAAAGAAGTATGAAGAATCCAATCGATCGCTATAGTTTTACAGACATTGCTGTGGAATCCTTAAGCTCAACGGCGACTGAATCAAGGCAACGGTGTAGCTATGATAAAGCTGGATGTTATATTCAAATATCACAAAGAGTAACTAATGTACTGAGATCAACAAACTGCCAAATATTTTGTAATTATTAAAAATACCATGTAGTATCTATAAGTGTCCCTCAAAATGACATGTTAAAAAACAACGTTTTTTTCTTGCAAAGCTATACCTTCGAGAGATTATTATGAATACTTAATGAATAATATATATATGAATATATGAATACTTAAATGTATGTATGTTGGAGAAAAACAATAACGTACTGGTTTTAAGAAAAGCAACAGATATGCCATCTATGATGTATCTGTCATTTTTCTTACAACAGTATGTAAACAAAACAAAGAAGCTTAGCTAATTTCTTAAGCAAATACGCGAAGCATCCACCTTGACAAATTGATTGTGATGAAAAATGGCCAATATTTGAAATGAAAATAGTGCAGATCTGTTCCTCATAGTATTTTTTGTTTATTACAGCAGCTATCAGTTGCAATAATACACACCCTGCCACGGGCTAAACCATTCAATATATACCCAGATTTTTTAAACATGGACCGCTTCCCACTAGTAGCATCGTATCTTCTCTTGTAACTCTATTAACTTCTTTTTTTATTGATTGTGTTAATGTGAAATTGTTTGTTGTTGAATATGCCAATGCGGACCGTCAATACTATTATTATTATTGAAGGAAAAACGGAAACACTTTATTTACAGAATCACATATCCTATTGATGTTCAGCAAACGTTTGAATTCCATTTTCACAAATAATTACGGCTTAGAGCTAATTTCACTCGTTACATGTCCCTAGCAATCTCTCTCTCTCTCTCTCTCTCTATTTATA